ATATTTCAAAAAGAATCTAGTTACAAATTATAAAGAACATCGTATACAGACAAAATAACCCCTTCAGTTTCTAAAAATGCAATCAAAACTTCAAGAAAGCAAAACAAAAACCAAACACTCCATACCTGCCTGTGGTCTGATCGTTGTGAGAGATTCTAGGTAGTCCTTCATGTCTTTGTGTTTGAAGCCAACAGAGATTTCAAAAGGTGTTTTATGTAGTACATTCAGGTGATCAGGATTGGCACCCTTCTCCATGAGCTGCTGTGCCAAGCTCACCTTTCCACTAACAGCTGCCAGCATTAAAGGACTCCAGCCCATAGTCTTCACAGTGTAATTACAATCAGCTCCCCAGTCTAATAACAGATGTACCACTGCCTCATGTCCATGCTGAGCAGCTGCCATTAGTGGAGTGATATCAGGAAGGTCGTCTCTGCTGCTGTTAAGTACACTTGTGCTAAAATGGTCATAATTGTCTACAAAAGCTCCGGATTCCAGCAACAATTTCACCATGCTGACATGGCCACCTCTGGAGGCCATAGTGAGGACACTGGCTCCCAACTTATTCTGTGCATTGAGATCAGCACCATTCTCCAGCAAGATGTGAGCCACGCTTAGATGTCCGAATCTTGAGAGAAAGAGAGATAAAGAGAAGAATTAACACCTTGGATGGCAGAGGTTTCTCAAAGAAAACCAACATACACTGAACACAGAAATTTGTTAGAGTAAAAACTTCAAAGAAGAAGAAAGTAAAAAAGGAAAAAGACCATTTTATGAACAAGATAGCAAATCCTCTGTATTTGCATCATCCCTTGCTTTCCAGTTGTGAACCATCAATGAACACCCACAATGGAAGAAGGCTCAGAGAAGACAAGCACATGCCCATGAAGCTCAGGGAAGAACATAGCGAGTGGCCACAGCTGTTGTAAGGAGAGCTGAACTTCTCTCAACACAAAGGGGACCAGAGAGAGCCTTTGTTTTACAGAAACGGTTCTGTCAGTAGAGTGGGACAACTGGCTGTATGAACGGCCTCCCCTGAAACAATCAATAGAAAATATTCTCTTCCTGAGTCAGACAGACCAGCATGGGGGAGGTATCTATGCAGCTCAGCCAAACACAGAGCACCAAAACTGAGCAATCAGCAAAAATAATTTTGAAGGCAACAAAGGGCTTGAGCTGGCTTCTGGCCACATACTCCTTCCTGGAATGGACGCCCACCATCATGATGATGAGCATACAGGGACTGGTAAAGGGTGTGCTCTTTGTCTTGTGGTTCAACTGTGTGTTGCAGTTGCTATGTTAGGTTTGTATTATTATTTCAGGAGATTGCTGTATCACTAGGCTAAATCAAATCCTGTGTGACATCAAGTATCTCGCAATAAGGAAACTTGGTATTAAAGCATTAAAACCTTCCTGTGTGGAATATCTGAAAGAACTTGGTCAGAACATTTAACTCTGACACCAGTTTCACCAGTAACTCAGCTTTGATACCACTTGACTATCAGAGGCTCTGGTAGTTTGTCAGTAAACAAGAGACAACCATGCAAGCCATACACCCAACCAGCTGGCTAATCCTGAGAAAACTGAAAACTTTTATGGTTCCTCAGCTGAGGAATTCCATATTTAATAAACACAATACATTGACAAGATGTGTACTTTTTGCTCTTGTTGCACATTGCTATACTTCTGTGGAGTGTCTACCACAACCAAACTTTGATCCTGAAAGCAGCCCTTGCAGACTGCAGCAAAGCAAACGTCAGTTGAGGGAATCCCAAAGAATGCTACTAACCACTAACAGCAGACAGGAGACCAAAAATCCCTAGCTGCCTTTCAGAAAGGACATCGTTGCAGAAGGAAGCCTCTAGGGTCTGTCCAGTCCCTAGGTCTATCCTGGTAGCCTTCACTGTGTCACCTCAGTAGAACCTGCAACCACTGCAGGCATGATTAATTTTATGCATATATGCTATCTCCTGTCCAATTTCAACAGGACTAACCACAGCCAGAAAATTAAACACATACGTAGTTTGAATGCTACATTTGTACAAACACTATGCTTCCTTTTTGGTTATTCATTAAAAAGAAAAAAGAAACATGTTCTTCCACTTTATGCTTTCTCCACAGGTTTCAATGATATCTACTGTACTTTTCAAATGGCAGCAAGTCATTTCTTTAAAACAGTGAGAGGATTATACTGATTTGAGTTTATTGTTTTTAGAGAATGAGCGTATGGTTTTCATTAAGGGGAAAAAAAAAATCTAAGAATGTTTCTGCAACTTCTTTTTTTTTTTTTTTAACCTTCATAAAATAACAAAATTGTTGAACCTTGTCTTCCTTGTTCTTACTGGAAAACCAGCTGTGTGACTCATTCTTTGGGAACTTTCTATGGGCTTCAAATGAAAAAAAAAAAAAATGTTGATCTTGAAACACTCTTTTCTTCCACATATTTTAATATGTTATGAAGCATTAAAAAAAAAAAAAAATCTCCTCTCAATTAAGCATTCAATTATAGGAAAGCATTGCCCTCCAACCTTGCAAAACATGTCTGTAAACCCAGAGGGTACTTGTATACGTAAAGATAAGTACAACCGTGAGCATTAGCAACACGGGTACCTCCCACAGCCCAGCAGTGGCTTACACAAAGCGCAGCGTCATTGATGCAGAAAACAATCCAGTTTTCCCATTAAAAACCTCAGCAATGATTTTCCACATCCTCCAGTGAGCCACTTAGGAAAATAGGGAACAGCCAAGTGAAATGAATTATTTATGTTTGCTTCAGCATGTTTTATGTCAGAGGTGACTCTTTAACAGGCAGGTAAGACACACACATACCAAAAAAAAAAAAGGGGGGGGGGGCAGAAAATTAAATACGGGTGTGTATGTGCCTTACACAGCAGGAACGAGGGGAGCTGTTTTCACGTCCAGGTTACCTCTGACAATGATTCTGCACTGGCCTTACCCAAGACATAACGTGCACAGCTTCAACCTCCACATCCTCAGCATGGAAAAATGAAAACCTAAAGCCCCAACGCAATACTTACCCAAATTTAAACTCGACAACCCCTCCTCACCCACCCCCGGGAAGGTAACAGGTGAC